TGGTGAGTTGTCCCGAAGCTTGTTGACTATGGTGAGTTGTTCTGTGGCGAGTTTTTCTGGGGCGAGTTGTCCGTGGCGAGTTGTCACATGGCGAATCGGCCATGTTGAGTCCCATTCTGCTTTCTGGGTTCCCGCCAAATACAGCCTTTGTGTAAATTCCCCCCCACGTACTTAGCAAGTTGTCTAGGACAGTGGGGGAAGGGTTGCGCAAGATCTTGCAGACCTGATCTTTCGGTCTTCTTTCCTTGCAGTTCCGGCGTGGGCCGCACAGGAGCCTTCTGCCTCCTCTACGCCGCCATGCAGGAGGTAGAAGCTGGCAACAGCATCCCGGATTTGGTTCAACTCGTGAAGCGCATCCGTCAACAGAGGAAACACATGCTGCAGGAGAAGGTAAGGGAAGCAGGCAAACCCAACTCCAGGATAGCGGAGGTGGTCAGCGGTGGGTATCTGAACAGGCAGCTTCTCTTCCAGGTCCATCTCCGATTTTGCTACGAAGCGGTCCTGAAACATGCTGTGCAGGTATTGCAGAGACATGGTGTGATGTCCGCGGCCTTGGCCTGCAAGCCGGCCAGCAGCAGTGCCCAAAAGGTAAGGTAGCATTGCCTAATGGGTTGCAGAAAAGAGATGATCTGGGGGTGGGGGGGAGGCAGCCTCTTGAACCCATGCAGATACTTCAGTTGAAGAACCCAGGAGAAACAAGCTCTTATTTAAGCCACGGCTTGTCCTGAATAAAATGTGAATTCTGGGAATTGTGATGACCTACATCCCACAGGTAATCCTCACTATACAGCCATAATTGTGACCCCCAAATTTATGTTACTGAGCGAGACTGTTAAGGAAGTTATGTCCTGCGGTGAGATTCAACTGGTGTAACCGTTGGTTCAGTGAGCACAAGCTTCACAACCAGTTCACCCGAACCGGTCCGTACCGGCTGAATTCCAACCTCGGTTGTGTCCCGCTTAATGCCTTTTTTCTCATCACGTAGGTTAAGCGAATCGCGGCAGATGTTAAATTGGTAACTCGGTTGTTAAATGAACCTGGCTTCTCCATTGACTTTTTTCCTGGTCAGAAAGTTGCCAAAAGGGCGGAATTGTTAAGTATCAGAATGTCAGGATGCTACAACGGTCATCAGTGTGAAAACTGGATCATAAATCCCTGTTTTCACTGCTGTCGTAACTGTGAATGGTCACTGAGTGAACTCATGTAAAGTTGAGGACTGTGTACTCTCTTCAGCCTCCCCCTCTCTCCTTCCAGGTGCCTCTCCAGCAGGACCTCCAAGATCTAGTCTTGGGGGGCGACGTCCCCATCAGCTCCATCCAAGCCACCATTGCCAAACTCAGCATCCGACCTCTCCCAGGCAGCGCCGAGCATCCCCCCAATGGCCGAGGGTTAGAGGCGGCAGCCTCAATGCCCCCGTTGGATGCTGCAGTCCCGCCGCCGGCATCTTCCGCTGGTCCACGAAGCTTTCCCGAGGCAGGCTGCACAGAGAACATGCCGGGGTTTTCTCCACCTGTCACACCGGCTCCGGCATTGTCCGAGCCAGTGGCCCCATCGATCGTCGAGATGAGCAGCTCCATGGAAGAGGAGAGAAGCGAGGAGAAGGCGGAAAGTCTCCCGAGGGTAGAGCCGTTGGCATCTACACCGGCCCTCCCTCCCTCCTCCTCCTCCTCTTCCTCCTTGGAGCTCCTGGCTTCACTCACCCCGGAGGCCTTCACCCTGGACAGCTCACTTAAGGGCCGGCACAAAGTGAGCAAGCAGAGTTTTCTCCAGCCGCAGAACGGGGAGGGTCTGCGAGGAGCCCTTCCCAGTGATGACCCTCTCAGCAAGTTGGACCCTCTCTGGACTCTCAACAAAACCTGAGCAGGTGCAGCAAGCCCCCCCCGCCCCCCCCCTCAATCCTCCTGTACTTAACTTCCTGGTTTGTGGTGGAGTTCCAGGTGAGACGGCGGTATATTTGCCTGCAACTGACCACTTCGGGAATGCCGTACTGCCTCTGGAACACTCTCGCCATGCTTATGGTTGTTCAAGACCCCGCGCTGCGGCGATGCTGGAATGCTCAGAACGGTTACCGGTTGCCTTCCCGCTTCCTTTTCAGCCCCAGCCAGGACCACGCGTCTGTTACGGTTCACCTCAATGCCGGGGCAGTTGAGCCAGGAGTAAATCTGTGATGCCAGCCAGAGTCCTCATGCCCACTCAAAGTTTGGGGTGTGATTGGGAGTGGGGGGGCACAGACGGTTCAGCTTTTCAAGACGCACACACCCCGCGACCGTCCTCTCACCTTAGTGTCCCGTTCTATGGCAAGTAAACCTGGGACAAGCCACTAAAAGCTGGGATCTCCTGCACCGCCCATTTCTCATTCCTCCCCATGAACGTTGGTAGGACTTGAGACGGTCCAGTTGATCCTGCCAAACTGGGGAGGCTGGGAGGCGGGGGTCCCCAGATAAATAGGGAACCCTTGGTTGACTCTTGGTGGAATCTGACACTTGGTACGGCTTTTCCTCCCCAGGTTTCCTTAGGTGGCCCGATTCGGTTTCCAAAGGTTCTTTTTTTTTTTTCTTGTTTTTCTCGCCCCCCCCCCCCCCCATTCAGGACCACAGGGGTTCCCCCGGTATTCCCCCCCCCGCCCCAGTCCAGTGATGCTGAATTTTGAGCCACATGGTCTACCGAACTTGATTCACTTGACAACGGCTGTTGAAAAAAACGGGTGTGGACACCGTCGACACCAGTGTGGCCCCCCCCGAAGCAGGCATTCCGTGCCCCAAGGAATGGGGGTCAGTGGGACAGCTAAAATGTGGGAGCACCCCCTCCTCCGAGGGAGAAAAGGCCTGGCAAGACTCGTCTTTCCTGGATAGACTGGCTGGTTTTCTGTCCCAAAGAATGTTGATACGTTTGTGGATTCCGCCAACCCGTGCATTGACCAGTCTTGGGAAAACGTATTAATTTTTCTTTTTTTTCCTTTTTCCTTCTGTACAAATGTTAATACTGGCTTCCGGTTTCCAAACTTCCAGTGTAATTTTAACAGCCAACACTTTTTCAGTTCTTTGCTACGAAAGCAAATTAAACGGGGCGTTGGAGATGGGTGTCGTTGTTAAGACTGTTTTTATTTCCTCCTCCTTTTAACGTAATTTATTTATTAAATTTATTGGCCACCTATCTTAACCACAGGGTAACTCAGGGCGGCTTATGTAGTTAAAAAATATTACAATCTGTGTCTATCTGTCAATCATCTATCCATTTATTATTTGTCAAAACTGCTGACCAAGACCTCCTTAGACCTTAATTAAGCACATGCTTAGTCCAAACAAGTCTTTTTTTATTTCAACAACTGGGAATTATATTCATTCCCAGCCTGTAATAAGTCCCAGTCTCTCAAGATACGCACTTAACTTTCTCTCCTTTGAATTGCTGCCAGCAACTAAAATGCCAAATGAACTGTAAAACACTGAGTACAAAGTCCCCACAGAACTTCAAAGTTTAATCTGAACAGAGTGAACATTGCTTCCTGCAAAGGCTCCTGTCCCTTTGCTCCTCCTTTATGTACAGTGGGAGGGGCCAATTACCTCCAAGCTTAATCCCAAGTTGCCCCTTTTGTCTCAGCTGCTCTTGCCTTCTGGCAGCTCTGCACAAGTGTGCACTGGGACCAGGCTCCCCTTGTTCCTCTGCCTTGGTGATGTCAGATTCTGGAGGCTCCAAAGTCAGCACATAACTTCTAAATGGCCCTGGACCCATCTCTGTCGGACGCAGGATCCTTGTCCGAGTCCTTCCCAGGCTTCCAGACTGGTCCCCGTTCTTCGCCACTGTCCAGTTCTGCTCCTGTCTCTGCGGGCTGCTGGTGGACCACAATAACCTCCCTCACTTTTCTGCTTATATCCATCCAGTGGTGGGCTACAACCAGTTCAACAACTGGTTCTGTGAGAATACGCTTCACCAACTCATAATTTGTCCCGGGGTCACCTTAACCGATGTGAACTGGTAGCAGCCCTCCATTGCATCCATCCATATGTATAATTTCCCATTCTCCCTACATCCATCCATCCATCCATCCATCCATCCATCCATCCATAACTTGTCTATCCATCTATCTATTTACATATGTACCAACCTCAGCTATATATCACCTGTATTACAGGGATGTCAAACTCAAGGCCCAGGGCCCAGATTTGGCCCTTGGGCTGCTGAGATGTGGCTTTTGGGCCCACTCTGGAAGGACTGGCCTGCGTTGTCGGTATTCGACTGCTTCAAAACTTGCCGCTTTTGGTACTCAAGACGCATTTTGACGTGCAAATGCCCCGGTGGTCACCCTTGTCAACGTGGTGGAAAAAGAAAGTGGACGACTACCACCGAAGAGTGAAAGCAAGTTGGCCATGCTCAGGAAGCTTGCCGACATAGGAAAAGGGACAAATAGGAAGTCCTACCCTTCCGCTGAAATGAAAGGTCACGTAATAAATCACGTGGTTGGTTTGCTATTCAATTTTTTTTAGTGCTCGTCACACCTCCCAAAACCAATTAAGCACGAGTACCGGGGTATTGACCTATTTCTTTTTTTTTAAAGGGAATTGCACTACTTCAGGGTTCAATGCTTCCATGATCCTTTGCAGTTGGAATTCTGCCTTTCTAGGAGAGCCGCGTCTTTCTCGCACCCGCTTCTACCTTGCCATCAACAACGCTGCGTGAAAGGCATTTAAAAAACATTACTTTCTTCCTCCGCTCTCAAGCGGAGGAATGGCGGGAAGGGGGAATGGTTCTACATGAGTGGCAGGCAAGGGTACCCCCCCCCCCCCCCCCCCCCCCCCGTTTACAGCTCCATTCACTCAAGCGACAGGTCTGTGTGTCTGCTGCTACTGCTTGCACAAGCAGCTGTACACGCTTGTGCTCGTCCACTTCTGTGGCCCGATTCTGAACGGCTCATGGCCCAGTAGGGAGCAGGGGTTGTGGGTTAGGGTTTCTCTCGGGCAGAAAAATATATTATTTCCAGTCTCCCCCAAAAACCACAGGAGGCGTGAAGTTAATTCTCTTTAATGTGCCTGTACACGTTACAAAACACAATCGTGTATAAAAGCATCTACCATACAGTCGAAAGGGTACAGCAGAGCTAAGGCCACTGGAGGCATCATATGGGCATTGGACCAGGGGGGGTGGGGGGGGCAGGATGCGGGATGACAGGGCTGGGAAGAGGGGCTCGATCTGTCCCAATCTGCACGCATCCCTTCGAGATACGTGGCCTTCACTCAGAATACATGTACTTAGCAACTGTAAAGAGTTACGACTTACAACCCACTCAGACCCACGACCATATTTGCAGCATCCTACAAGCCCCTCCCCCTATGGTTTGCCTGACCTCGATTTACGAGAGTTTTGTCCGTAGGAACCACTTCTGGTTTTCAGCATAATTGTGCCACGGTGAACAAGGGGTTCACGTAATTTCTGTGGTGTTTTAACAACCCCTGGCAAAAACGTCAGGAATTGGTCACACGGTTGCGGGATGCTGCCAGCAGGCTGGCCCATTTTACAGTGAACGTGGGCAGGCTGTTGTGGCCGTAAGATGAGGACCGCCTGTACCCTAACTAGCTGCAAGAAGTCTACAGGTCTGGAAATGGCCATGGTTAAGAAACATCGGGGAATGGTTTAGCTCTACCATGCCCCACCCCATCCGGCCTTGGGCGCAAGGCTGCCAAACCTCAGCAGGCAAGCCCCCAAGCCGCCTCCTGCCGATGAGCGCCTTACAAGCAGCGGTCCTAAATTATAAATAAACTAGTTCCTATGCAAATGGCTTTAAATTAAGAAATAAACCACGTATATTAACTGCACTTCCCGAACATTTCTCGTGTCTTTTGGACCAACTGAAATCTCCCCCACCCCACTTTTTCCCCCCTCCCCGTTCTAGTTAATTTTCCCATCGTGGCACCCACATCGACTCAGCAGACAAACCCGTTTATGGTATGCCCTCTGGGTCTTCGGGACACAAAACTCTACATGATGCTGAACCGTGGGAACTGCATGTCTGTCCGAGGCAGACATTAGATCCGGTGGTGGGTTTCAATTTTTTTTACTACCGGTTCTGTGGGCATGGCTTGGTGGGTGTGGCAGGGGAAGGATACTGCAAAATCTCCATTCCCACCCCCCCACTCCAGGAGGAAGGTTACCACCGGTTCTCCAAACTACTCAAAATTTCCGCTACTGGTTCTCCAGAACTGGTCAAAACCTGAATAACACTCTGATTGGATCCCTGAAAACCGCCATGACTCGGTTGAATCACGGTTGGGACTCTATCTTTACCAGGGGTGGGGGGGATGACAACACAGCCATGCCTACAGCCGGTAAAGCTGCCCTGAAGTCCGCGCTGGGCAGGTTTAGTGTCAAAGCAAAGGGGAATCGGTGACATCCCATCCCTGATCTTTAAGCTCGGCTTGCAGCAGCCAGCAAGCCCATTTTCATGATCTCGGTTTACAGCAGGCAGCGTATCTCCTATTCTCTCCCCCTGATGTGCTGGAATAAATAACTATGTACAGCAGAAATAAATACAACGGGGAGTAACTGCACCCACTCTTTTCACACCTGCTGCAGATCACTGGCTGAAGCCTGCGGTGGATGGAATCAATCTGGCTTGTTTCATTTCCCTAGATTTGGAAGCCCCCACCCCACCCCAATTAAATGGCTCAGGAGACAAAGGGGGCACTGGGGAAGCCCTCCCATTCTTTGCCCCCAGCCCATTTTTTTGAGGGCTCCTGTGTGGCCAGATTCAGCACCCACCCAAATGGACGGCAAAGGAAACGTCGCTGCCGCAGGGTTGTGGAAAACTCTCCTGCCTGGCTCGCCAATAGTTGTTCCCCGGCGTCCATCCACTACAACCCTTCCAGAACGGTGGCCCTGGCCTCATGCCCCACCTCGCCCCAAATCCAGAAAATTGGAAGATTCGACATCGGCCTCCTTCCCGTTCTTCCAGGGGACAGAAAACTCTGCCAAGTATCTTCCCTGCATCGCTGGGTGTCCAGGAGCAGTTCAAAGGGACGGGATGGGTTAGGGGCTTCTTGATTCTCTTCCTCTGCCTCCCACCCTTTCAGTCCCGCTTCTCGAGCACTGACGGTACGTAAACCAGGTTGAGTTCACTGCCGAAGTTGCAGACAATGGCCGCGTTCTCCAGCACCAGGATTTGCCGGGCCGGCTGCGACTCATTGCTCTTGCCCAGGTAGACCGTCTGCAACAGGTCGCCATAGCCAATGTCCCAGAAGGAGACGCAGCCTTGACCGCCAGTGACTAGCAAATTGTCTGAGATCACGCCCAGGCTGGCTCCACAGCCCATGTCCTGTGTAGAGAGCAAAGGGGGGGGGGTAAGAGAAAGGTCAGAGGTGGGGCTTGGCAGACAGGAACGGGCTTTGGTAGCAGCAGGCGATGTCAAACCTCCATGTTTCTGACTTCCAATGTTCAGAGGATCCACACCAGGGGTATCAAACTCAAGGCCCATGGGCCACATCTGGCCCATGGGATGCTTAGATCTGACCTGCAGGGCTGACCTGGAAACAGCAAATGACTTGCTCGTGGTGCCTCTACCAGGCTCTGTTTTCGGCCATGATGGCCTCTGGCAGCTCTCTGCCAGCGAAGACGGAGCTCTGGAGGGCCGCTTGCGACCCTTTCCGCTGGCAGAGGCACCGTGGGCCGGCTGTTTGCCAGGGCGGCCCCGTGGGGCAAATCTAAGTATCCTGTGGGCAGGAGCTGACCAGATGTAAAGCGGTTGCAATGTAAGGCTAATGCAAGGAAGATGAATCGGCCTTAGCGTTGCCCCTTTAAGACTAAGGAGTCACTCTAAGACTAGTGAGTTCACGGGATTTTACCCCTTTAAAAGGTGTTTATATAAGGCAGCCATTAGAGGGCATCCTGTCTCCGCTGTAGAGTTCCTCCATGCAGAGTTAAGAAGATTGATTGCTGGTCAGGTATTTGCCTACCATGTATATTTATCTTGTATATAAACCACCGTTAAAATGTCTTAAGTCTCTGTGTGCTGTGTTTTGCTCCTGAGTTGTCTCACCATAGTAACGTTTTCACGCTGAAAATGCTCTGACAGATACCCCTCATCTAGAGTAGGGGTTCCTGGCAAGGCCAGTTTGATGTCACTCCTGTTGGGGGCACCTGGGGTGGGCTGGGGTGAGGAATGAGTGACATCAAGCTGGCCACGCTGAGCCAGGCTATGCCCCCCCAGCCCGCCCCCAAGTTCAAACACAACCCTGATGTGGCCCTCAAATGAAATTGAGTTTGACACCCCAGCACAGCGGAGTCTTCGGAAGCACGTCCCAGAGGCTCCCAAAACTATGAAGGATTTATTGGGAGTGAACGTGTCCGGCACTGCCTGGGTGTAGGGTACACGCAATTCACTGTCACCCCTGACCCTGGTATCCCCCACCTCCGCCCCTCTGGGTGTATCACAAATCATATTCTCCAATCGAAACACATCCCTAGCCAAGAGTCATCAATCATATTCTCCAATTAAGGTTTTTTGCACGGCAGAAACTCCAGTCGCCTAGTTATCATCTTTGCAAGATATGAATGGAATGCACTTTCGATTCCAAACTGCCGCATTGCCCTGTCGAATTCCTTTCTCCTCCCCCTTTTCTGTTGGCAACTATAAAACGTTTTATGAGTTGACATCCACCTGCTGAATGGAATAATGTTTGATCCCCGAGGCCCGGTCCCAGATGTTGATGATGTCGTCCAGGCCACTGCTGATGACACACGAGGTGGTACAGGTCAGGGAGGTGACATCACCCCGATGGGCGCAGATGTGGTTCACGCGGCTGCCCGTCAGGACGTCCCAGAGGCAGATGGCACCATCCTGGCCCCCACTCGCCAGCACCATGGTCTGGAGCGGGGAGGGGCAACGAAGAGGAACAGGTCTCTTTGCGGCCTCGACCCAGGGAGGGTGAGGTTACAGGGATGGATGGATGGATGGATGGAAGGAGGGAGGGAGGGAGATGAGAGGGAGGAAGGAAGCAAGGGAGGAGGGAGGGAGGAGGAAAATGGAAGGAATGAAGGGAGCAAGATAATGAGAGAGAGGGAAAAGGAAGGAAAATAAAGGAGGGAGAAAGGAAAGAAGGAAAAAAGGACAATGGAAGGAACAAAGAAGAGAGGGAGATGAGAGGAAGTAAGGAGGGAGAAAGGACGGAGGAAAATAAAGGGAATGAAGGAGAGAGGGAAAAGGAAGATGAGAGGGGGGAGGGAAAAGGAAGGAAAAGAAAAGGGAGGAGGGAGGGAGGGAAAAAGGAAGGAAGGAAAAAAGGACAATGGAAGGAACAGGGAAGGGAGGAAGGGAGGAAGATGAGAGGAATGAGCAGAGATGGAAGGAGCCTCAGAGGTCATCTAATCCAACCCTGTGCTCTAGCATTTCAAACAAATGGCTGTCCAGGCTCTTCATGAAAACCTCCAATGTTGAGACATGGCCGAGAGCCAAGATGACGCCCTCTGATTTCATCACAACAGAGCTCAGAAGGGACCTCGGAGGTCATGTAGACCAACCCCGTTGCACAATGCCGCTCAATGCCCTTCACACGCCAACCCCTTCTTCTACTGGCAGCTTGTCCCCCTCGATTCTTCGATCATCCCTACCTGGTCGATGTAGACGGCGGTGATGGCCCCCGAGTGGCCTTGTAGGGTGAAGAGACAACAGGAATCTTCTAGGCGATACACCTAGACGGAAAACAATAGCGCTGAGCCAAGCCCCCCCCCCCCCCCCACAGGCCCATCGCTCCTTTCCTGGTTTGGCCCCCTTGAGGAGGACCTGCCGGTCATTTAAAGGACCCCATAATCCCTTTCGGGGTGGAGAGAGCCGAGTGTTTTTAATGGCCGGATGTCCTTCCTTGTCCGTGTGAAGTTTTTGTTCAGCAGACATATTCTCATTGTGCCCAGAGAGACAGAAATATCAGCCTCTACCTAGGATCGAACTCACAGCCTCCGGATTGGGAAGTGAGAGCTCCACCTATAGGCACCACACCACTTATAGAAGGACAGAGTTGGAAGGGACCTTGGAGGTCATCTAGACCAGGGGTCGCCAACCTTTTGGACCTCAGGGACCACCAAACTCATAATTTTAGATCCCAGGGACCAGTAACTGGTTCTGTGGGTGCGGCCTAATTTGTGGGTGTGGCTTGGTGGTCATGTGACTGGATGGGCATGGCTTGTATGTAAATATTATAAATACTTATATAAATATTGATTTTTTTTATATAAAAAAGCAACTTTTATCCCAAATCAGGCAAAGCAGGAAGATTTCAGTTGCTCACAGAATCATTCAGTGATCTATCTATCTGCCATCGGCTAGCTCAGTCTCTCAAATTTGCTTGCCATGTGTGTGCACTGAATTTGCTTGCAAGCAAACCTTCAGTCCTCAGGGAGGTTTGGCTGTGCTTAGCTACAAGGCAAGAAATCCAACCATTTCCTGCTTTCTAGCTAATTTAAATCTCCCAACACAGCAGAACAGCTGATGGTCGGAAAAAGGGAAAATAGCAACTTAGCAGGCAAGTTTGCTGGGTAAGGAGTGAGTGGGTGGGGAGGGTTCCCGGGGGCCATGTGGGCGGGGCAGCCTTGTGTTTCTGCACAGCCTGGATTAATTGTTTTGGGGGTGTGTGCTTTGGGGGTGAGATTTCTCTGCGGCCCACCAAAATTTTCTCACGGCCTGGCTGACTGGTTGGCGACCGCTGGACTAGACCAACCCCCCCACCCCAAGCAGGAGACCCTTACAGAAGAAGAAAGCTGGAAGGGAAATTGACCTTGAAAATTCATCCCCCTAAACCTTATAGGATAAATACCACAATGATCTGTTTGTTATACATTTATCCATTTAAATCATCATCATCTTCATTTAGCGACCCCATAATCCCTTGCTCCATTCAGTTGTCCCATTCAGTCGGGGCAAATGAATGAAGCCAGCAGAATATTTACTGGCCAGATGCCCTTCCTGTCACCAGTGCAGAGTTTTTGTTCAGCATATCATCGGAGACTTTTTTTTTTTTTACTACCGGTTTGGCCAAACTGGTCCGAATCGGTAGCATACCGCCACCGCCCCAGGAAAACCTGGATGCATGGGGCCTGCCTAGAAGGGCGGGAACCTTGCCCGGTAAGGTCCAACCTCTGACCCCAAAGCCTTCCTTACTCGTAGAGTGTGGTCCTGGCTGCCGGTCACTAGCCGGCCGGCCGCAGCCTTCAGGGTGGTGATGGGCTTTTGGTGAGCGCAGGTCACTGTGTGAGTCAGCTGGCAGCTGAGGAGGTCATTGGGGCTGTAGACCGGCGGTGACGGGAGGCTGTTCCTGCCCGGAGTGGCTGGAAAGAGAGAAAAAAGAGAAAGGGAGGGAAGAAAAGAAGGAAGGAGACAGAAAAAGAGAGAAAAGTAAATGAGAAAATGAGAAAGAAGAAAAAGAAAAAAAGCAGAGAAAAGGAAAGGAAATAAAAGAGAGAAAGGAGAGAAAGAAAAAAGAAAGATGAGGCAGAGAGGAAAAGGGTGAGGGAAAAGGAAAGAAAAAAGGAAAAGGAAGGAAAGGAGAAAAAGACAGGGAAAAGAGAAACAGAAAATGAGAATGAAAAAGAAAGACAGAAACAGAAAAGGAGAAAGGGAAAGAGAGAAGAAAGAAGTGAGAAAGAAAAAAGATAAAGATAAGGGAGAGAGAGGAAAAGAGAGAAAAGGAAAGAAAACAGAAAGAGAAAAAGAAAAAGGGAGGAAGGAAAGGAGGAAAAGACAGATAAAAGAGAGAAACAGAAAATGAGAAAGAATGAAAAAGAAACAGAAAAGGAGAAAGAGAAAGAAAGAAACGAGAAAGAAAAAAGATAAAGATGGCAGAGAGGGGGAAGAGAGAAAAGGAAAGAGAACAGAGAAAGAGAAAAAAGGGAGGAAAAAAGAAGAGAAAGAGACAGAGAGAAGAGAGAAACAGGTAGAGAAAACAAGAATGAAAAATATAGAAACAGAGAAAACAAGCGAGAGAAAGGGAAAGAGAGAAGAGAAAGCGAAAAAGAAAAAAGATAAAGATAAGGCACAGAGGGATAGAGAGAAAGGAAAAGAGAGAGAAAAAGAAAGAAAGAAAAAAGAGGAGAAAGAGAAAGAAAAGTAGACACAGATAGAGAAAACAAGAATGAAAAAGAGAGAAGCAGAGAAAAGGAGAGAGAGGAAGGGAAACAGAGAAGAGAGGGAAAGAAAAAAGTTAAAGATAAGGCAGAGAACGTGAGAAAAAGGGAAAGAGAGAAAAGTAGAAAGAGAGAAAATGAGAAAGAATGAAAAGAGAAAGAGAGAGGGAGAGAAAAGGAGAAAGGGAAAGAGAGAAGAGAGAGAGGAGGAAAAAAGATAAGGCAGAGAGAGGGAAAGAGTGACAGAAAGGGAAAGAGAGAAAGAGAAAGAAAGAACAAGAGAAAAGAAAGAAAAGAGTGAACAGACATTGTTGCTTTCACAGCCAGTGTGCAAGGACACCTGGGAATGCACTAATTTTGGTCTTTTGCACATCTGGAATACATTTTGCTAAGCCCTGGGATGAGGGTTACATAACAAACCTCGATTTAAGACCAGGAGGATTTAGGGACGGAGGAGAGGGGAGCGGTAAACACCTCCAACTCCGACTCCCAGAATCCCCTGCTTACCCTGGAAGGGGGAGAGCGGCATGGACAGGGGGGTCCTGAGAGAATAAAAATCGAGGGAGCCGTTCAGCCTGGCAGCCACAATCCTGCGCCGAGGGGAAACACAAAAGGTTACCAATAAAGTTCAAATGAAATCTGAAATTTAATTTTTAAAAAGAAAATCATTCGGGGATAGGAAGGAGTGGAATTTGGGGAAGCGAGGAGGCAGCGGCCGTGGAAGAGGAGGAAGAGGAGGATGAGAGCGCAGGAGAAGAGAAAGAGGAAAAGAAGGAAGAGGGAAAGAAGGAGAAG